ACATTCTCAGTCCTTTTTAAGATTTTTGTTTTGAGATCAGGTCCATTCTATCACTAAGTTGTCCAGGTTGGCCTCAAACTTAGGATCTTCCTGCCTCGGTCTCCCGGAGCACCGAGATTCCAGGCGTACACTACTGTGCCTGGCTTCTAAGTATCATTTTGAAAGCTAATGATTTGTCCTTGAATATGAGATAATACAATCTTTAAATTAATTGCTTTTACTTCAGAAGGATATGTCAAATTCTAAAATAAGAAGTGTCAGTACAATATAAAAATTCAGAAAAGCTTTTGACCATTTAAGAAACAGCATTTCAAAGCAGAACCGCAAGTTATGCTTCTTGTGTTCCCTGTAAGTGCAAGGAGAACTCAGTTTTCAAGGTTATACATTCTCAGAAGACTAGCAGGTTAGAGATTATTACGGATACAACTTTAGTAATAGCACATTAGAAGTGCTGAAGATAGTGAATTTTTGAAAATGTATATAGTGGTGTCCTAACCTAACTTTTCTTATAAAATTATAGGCAACACAGTAGTACACAAGCATCCGTTGCATTGTCATAGCCATGATATCGTCATAGATCATGCAGCCTCAGGAAATCCCCCTGCCCCCTCATGAGAAAAATGAGCATAAAAATGGCAAACGACACAACTACCTTTCTGATATAATTATGAGCTTTGATCTTACACACCTACTGAAAGGGGTCCCGGGGCCATGCTGAGAACCTCTGGTCTAAAATCATGTTAGTCCCTTGCTAACAATGGGTGAGGCATCGTCATGAGATGCCACTATGGCCAGAGAGACCGGAGAAGAATTCTGCAGTGGCTGCTGGGGAGGGTCCCAAGCCCTTGAGGGGGAAATATAAGAGGTAATCTGTTCTCACCGTGGACATTGCTGGGCCTGGATGTAATGCTTGCAACCATCATGGTCACCTCATGACCTTGACATCATGAGTGTCTATCTGTCTTCCTTTCACAGCCCAAACCCAAGGATTAGCATATCCTTTTAGTGCCACTATTAAAATGTATGTGGCATCTGACCACTCTCACCAGCCTAGTCCAGGCCATCTTCGTTGCTTGCTTGGGTTATTGCAGTATTTTTCCTGGCTCAGTTTGCTCTTCCCCATCTCCTCTATGTATCCCCTTCTCTCTTAAGAAATCCAGCTCATGTTACTCTTGTGTTCAAAAGCTTTTGATGGCTCCCCCTTCCCTGCCAGGGTCCAACTCTTGCCATGGCCACCAAGATCCCTGACCTGGCTCCAGCTGGCTCTGCTGCTGCCGGCCCCTTCCTTCCTCATCCCCTCTCCCTGGCCTCCACCCCTCAGACAAGCCAGGATGCACAGGGCTCCTGGTCCGGCCCTTGATGTTCCCTTGCTTGCAACACTCTCCATCAGCTATCTTCACAGCTTACTCCTTGGCTCATGTACCTTCCCACCACCCTCAGCCCCACCTGGGCTCTTTATCCTTTTGTCCTGCTTTATTTTTCTCAGGGTCCTTTCCACCCCTGGTGCATTGCACAGCTACTGTCCAGTGCCGCTCTCCCCCAGCTGCAAGTCACTTCCATGCAGAACTTGTTTTTCCCAGTGCTGTAATTCCATCACCTGGAGAAGTGCGTGGCCATATGATGAAGCTCATTAAAGAAGAATGCCAGACAGAGAAGAAATAAATGGAGAATAGCGAACAGTTCATAAGAATTTCATAGAATTAAAGAAAGAGGAAAGAGCTTGTTTAAAGTTCACAGAGGAAAAATGAGACAGACTGACTCAAAGCAAACAAATACAAAAGCTAGATGAATGGCAGGGAGTTTATAGAACACTAAGCACGGGAGTAAATTCTGAAAGTTTATGAACAGCAAAAGCACATCATGAACAAATACTAGGACCACGCTGACAGCAGGTTGTTCAGTGGAAGAAAGTAACACAGCATGAGACATTAGGACTGTGAATGACCTAGGTGTGTCACTCTCTGTGGGAGAAAGTTTAAACAAAGGCAGAAAATGGCTTATCAGCATCAGGAGTCAATTCTAGGTACACCTGTACAGCAAGGAGGGGACAATGAGAAGTGGATGTGGACAGCCAGCAAGCATTGAGGGCCAAAGGAAAGAAACTAATGACAAGGTACATATGGTTCTTAAAAAGCTACAAGAGACACCTGGAAGAATAGATACAGAATATACAACGTTAGCCTAGTAGAAGAAAATCTGATCTATGTAATGGAACACAGATGAAAGGAAATGTATAAAGATAAATACAGGATATGCAAAATAAGATGCACAATACTAGCGATTAAAATAATTGTAAATGAGTTAAATTCACTATTTGGACTATAACCAAAACAAAAATCAAGCAACTTGTCATCTAGAGATGGTGGCAAATGCTTGCATTCTTCTCAGCCCTTTCTTCTTTGTGGCTTTTCTCTGCAGAGGTTGCAACATTACACTGTTCATTTTTTGCTTTTTGGTGGTGGTGGTAGTGGTGGGGTGATACTGGGGATCAAGACCAAGGCAAGCTATCATTGAGCTACATGCTAGCCCATTTATTGATGTTTTTAGAGACAGGGTCTCTCTAAGTTGCCCAGGTGGGGCTTGAATTTGGGACCCTCCTGCCTCGGGTTCCTTAAATATTGGGATTATATGTGTTAGCTTCTTCGTCTCCATTACATGTGAGGTGACCGTAAGGCTGCTGAGACACAAGAAGTCTACCGAGTCACCTTGGTGGTTCAAAAAGAAACAGAAACTTTTACAAACAAATAAACATCAAACATTAACTAGAAATCAGATTTCCCCCTTCAAAAGCCCTAGAACTAGCTGATTATAACACCCTTTAAAGTGACAGATAGACACTGCCTTATACAAGTTTTCTACGACATAAAAATGAAATAAAATGATTTCACAAAGCTAGCCTAATCTTGGTTCTAAAACTGAGAGAGGTACCACAGAAAAATTACAGATCTTTTTCATGTGTAAGCATAAATATGAAAGTCCTAAAGGACTAACCCACATATGTGTTTAAAAAAAAATCAGGATCAAAATGAGTTTATCCAAGGAATGCAAGGAAAATTCAACATCACAAAAAAAAAAGTTCAATGTAATTCACCACATTAATAGGCAAAAAGAGGGAAAAAAAATCACACCAAATGTAGGAGTCACTTCCAGGTCCTCGTCTCAGTCCAAGAAGCCAATATTTGTAATCCCAAAGTTACATTATTGGAATCCCATCAAGTTGATTCCAATCTACCACTTTCAATGCAACCCATGGCAAAATAAAGACACTAAAACATATTTATAATTATTGGGGAGTCAAGAGGCCCTAAGTCCAGCCACGAAGATGGCTTTCTGGAACCAA